TGAGGAAGATTATCCTTGAGTTAACACCCATACTAATCTTCCTCTATTTTGTATGTGGGATGCCACCACAGCATGGCTTGATGAATGTGTGTAGGTCTGTGCCTGAGACCTGAGCTGTAAACCCTGGGCTGCTGAAGTGGAGCACACGAACTTACCAACCATGCCAATGGGCAGGCCCTAAGGCTGTGCCTTTTGAATCTGTCTCAGTAAATGGAGAAATCAACATGTAGGCACACATTCTGGATTAATAACTCCTTTGATGGGTGACTCTGAAAATCATGGGATCAGGTAATAAGGAAGCCACAGGGTTTTTATTGGCACTAGAGCTGAAGGAATTACTTTTCTAAAGATGTGATGTTCTGAAATAACTCCCTTTTCTTCCCTACCTCAAATCTTAGAATACATCTCCCAAGTACAGGGGGAGACGGGTAAGTGATGAGTCTGCTTCCTTGGACTCATGTGGACGATCATTTTAAATAACCAAAAAAAATGTCCACTCTGAGGATGTATGCGCATGGGTGTATGTGTATGTATGTAAATAATCTACTCTCTGAGTGCACTCCCCCCCCCAAAATAAAAAACACACACTGCTATACCCTTATAGTGCAACATTAATAGGTAAATAAAAAAGCAGAAGACTCCAGAAAATAGTGAAAGTGAATGATCCTGGAGAAGGGAGGCATGATGTGAGATGCATAAACTATAGATGGGGGTAAGGGACAAAATTACCTTTGGCTAAGCCTGCAGGATTTGCTGTCATGCTGGTAGCTATAGGTAATCTTTTAAATTATGCAATGTTACATTTTACACAGCTACAAAGTGTGAGGGGAAAATACTTGTTTTGGTGCTTTATTGAGTGCCTGTGACATGCCTTTTTCAAGGTCTTGGCTCCCCAGCAGCAGCAGCTTATAGTGAGAACAGCAGGTGACATTGTCACAAATCTCAGATAACCATGAGCCAAAGCACTAGGGGCTATTGAGCCAAAGTCCTCTATGTTCCTAACTTCAGCATCTGTTCTCTGATTCTTTGCTCCTTCTTTCCAAAAGAAAGGTCACATAACTATCAAGTGGCAGAGCCAGGATTCACACACAGGCTGCCTAGTTCCAAGAGCCTGAATTTAGATGATGGCATGATCTCTGCTTGCTAGGATTGGTGACACTATAAAGATTGGCAGCCTCCTCAATTTTGTAAACCTCTACCCAAGCTTAGTAAAAAGCCTGCAGTTTATTTTCCCAAAATATACCATCCCCTATCATCCACTTACACCAACCCCATTCCTCCTCATCCCCTATACCTGAATTCTGAGGGGTTTCCATCACTTTTTAGGCCTCTTCTGAAATGATGTCGCACGGGACAAATACAAGGTACATCCAGCTAAGAGTCATTGGAGTCCAGCCCTGAAGGTTTTGTGTGCAGAAAATTGAATTCTCAATTTTATTCTCTCTGTTTCTGTGCCTTTCATCCTGGAGAATTGTGAAGCACAGGCCATGGAGCAAGCCACCAGCTCCTGGGGCTTTGGTCATTAGTTGTCAGGGCTGGAAGCTTTGCTATGGCTCTCTGTAGAGCAATGGGAGATGACGAGGACACTAAGTTATTTTAAAAGACACCGAGGATGCTTTCTGAGTGTCCTTTGCACTGAGGCTAGCGTGCAATTTCAATATACAAGAATTTGTTCAGCAAGTACCCTGTGCCCAGCCACGTGCTAAATGTTATGAGAGATTCAAAGCCCAAGGAATGGTTCCTGCACCTAGGAGCTTTCAATCTAGTTGAGAAGACATGATACACACGTAACGGATCAATACAAAACAGTTCATAATTAAGCGAAAAATTACATGTAGTCTAGGACCAGTATTAAAGGTGCTCTGGAAAGTCAGAATAAAGAGAGACAAATAATAATGATAAAAACCAGGATATGAACCCAGGTTTAACTAACCCCACAGCTGGTTTTCCTCCTATTACGTTACACGGTTTCAATATGATTGCAAGCATGCAAACAAGCCACTGCAGAGCAAAAGTAAGCTGCAGCAAGGGAACATAACAAAATCGTAGTAGTGTTTCTATTAGGGAGGTTGCCTTATGGGTTTTAATTTTTGACTTTTTGCCTTTGCCTATGTACATAATCAAACCCCCTGCTATATACAAAACAATGAACATTAGAGAGTAAAAGGTATAAGGAGAAAACCAAAGTGACAGAAAGATCACACTTTCCATCTATAAGGAAAGTTCTCATGGACCAGGACCATGCCTCATGAAGTTGCTGTGTTAAACTTGATTATTGGAAGCTCAACCTTACATGAAATGGTAAAATAGCTTGAGCTATGCTTAGTTTTTCTCAAAAAGAAACTTAGTGAGTGATTAAAGGAACCTGACCTTACTTGCCTGGGTTCATTTCTTTACTGCCCAGGCTAGTCTCAGAATCTTACTCAGAGGCTAGAAAGATGACAGTATGTGTCACAGCTAGCAGCAAGGGTATCTGGGAGTTAGTGAAGCTATCCCTTTTTGTTACCCCATCAGACACAAATTTAACAATGCCCCTTTGCCATAATCTCTCAGAAGGGACACTGAGTGATAGCTTATCCTACACACAGACTCCAAAAACGAGTCCAAGATTCATACACTCTCATTCTGCATGGCAGAAAGGTAGTCTGGTTGAAATGATTGACTGGTTGGTAATTTTCAGTATAAAATTCTGAGACAGATGTTTTTTCAAAGCAAGTCATCTTAATATCATCATCAGCAGCAGCAGCAGTAGAGACAACATTTGCTGAGTAAGTAATATGTGCCAGGCCCTGTATAATTGATTTACACACCATTTAAACCTCACAACAACTTCTGTAAAGTGGGTATTATTATTATTGTCTCCATTGTGCAGAGGAGGTGGTTGAAAGACTAAGGAACTTGCCCTAGGGCACACAACTGCTTATAAGAGTAGACAAATTTCTTCTCCTACTTTGTCCACTAATAGAGATCGTTACCTAATTGCATCCAAATTAAACCTGGGAGGAGGCTTTTCGCTCCTTCTCCCCAGTCCACTACATGTAGGGTTGCATTTTGTCTGCAAAGAGATGGCAGCGAAAGGCACGAGGATTTAAGCTTTAGTCTGTTGAATATTAGCTGGCCCTTCTTGTCTGAATTAAAAATATCTGCACACTCCCTGCCTGGCTTCTGGTGACGTTTTCCCACAGCTGATTCTCTGTGTATGTCATGGACTATTTCATCTTTTGAAAAGATGAACTATCAATCATGATCCCTGCCCTTCGGGTGCCCACCCTCTAGACAAATAGTAGTGTTGTGTATGGATAGTACAACTGCTTGCACGGTGAAAAAAATGTGGAAGAAGCACACAGATGCAATCCTAAATCCGTTGAAGCAAAGAAAGAATATTTTGCATAAATTGAAAGCTTTGGGAAAGTGAGTGTGAAGGGGGTTTACCTGTTTGGAAAGATAGTACCCAAGGAGGTTTTGCACTAACTTTTGACCACATTGAGGTCAATTGCAGGAGCCATTTTAAAAAACAAGAAAGAATGGAGTGAACGTGGAGAGTAAAAGTCTGAGAGAAGGTCTTGATATTGGAAAGGTTGAGAGAAGTGTTGAAAGAAGAAATGGAAAACCTGAGTGTGGGAATATTTAGGGGAGAATACATATAGCTGAATTTGCTGGATAAGTAAGAACTTGTTTTATACAAGGGAGAAGACAGATATAAAGTGAGAAATAGTTAAGAAAGTTCTCCTACTCAGGCTGGGAGGTAAATGTGGATTTTAGAGTAGAAGGAAACTAACGTGGCTCTCTGGACTGAACTGATCAGTTGTATTATTGCCTCTGAATTCCTCTCCTTGCAGGTAAAGGCCAGCTGCTTATGCTGAAAATAACTGGCATTTATTGCCTACTCTCTGTGTGCCAGAATTTGGCTAAGGCCTTTACATGCGTTATCTCATGTCATCCACAAAACAACTCCATAAAGTACAATCTCTAACAGATGGGAAATTTGAGGCCTGTGGAGATTTAGTGACAGGTCCAAGTTCACACAGATTGTGTCTGAGCTCAGGGCTGTTTGACTCCATAGCCCACATGCTTTCCCAGACTTTCCATCTTGGGCAATGCACCAACCTTTCCATCCTTTACAATGTGGAACAGACCTCAAGCAACTAGTATGGCTGGCAGGCAGGCTGGTAGCTCTCTGCTGAGTCTTCTTGTAAAGAACCCATATGCAATCATTTATGATTCCACCTGCATCTATTATTGAAAGCCACATTATCTGAAGTAATAATGTCACTCTCCTCTTCCCACAATTAAACTTCTTACCAGGATGACCCATAAGGAACAATACTGACTGGTTTTTGCTTGTCATTTCTCTCAGTGGAATAACATCTAAGCAGCAAATCAGTCAACACAGAGAAAACAGGAGGAAGGAAGGGGAATATAAGAGGCCTTCCAGCCATTAATGCTCCACTAGGCAGCTAACACATGAATTCATCCATGGCTCCTTATTAGCTACAGGAAAATATAAACATAGAGCTAGAAAATTTTGAGTATCGCCCAGTTCCAGGCAACATAAATAACATGGGGCGAGACAATTGACTTTTCTTCTAAGCGACTAGGCCACAAGATTTTTTATAAATATCTTTTTTATAGAAACCTCTAGTACAGCCAGAATCCCAAGGATTCCACCCCTCAGATCCTGTACATATATTTTTTCCTTATTCTTAATTTTTAAAATATTTCCAAATATTTTATTCTAATTTTCTTATGTTTAATTGTAGTAAAAAGCATAACATAAAATTCACCATCTTAACTGTTTTAAGTGTACAGTTCAGTAGCGTTGTTTATTCGCATTGTTGTGCAACAGATCTCTAGAACTTTTTTATCTTGCAAAACTGAAACTCTATTTTCACTAAATAACAGCTCCCCAATTCCCCCTCTCCCCAGGCCCTGGTAAGCAACATTCTACTTTCTGTCTCTATGAATTTGAGTAGTTTAGATACTTCATATAAGTGGAATCACACAGCATTTGTCTTTTTGCAACTGGCTTATGTCACTTAGCTTAATGTACTCAAGGTTCATTCAGATCCTATTTTAAAATCTCTTAAAGGCCCTCCTTGTAGGTATGAGTGAGAGTTATATCTTTTTTTAATTGTGATGAAATACATATAATATAATTTACCATTAGCGACATTCAGTACATTCACAATGTTGTGCAACCCTCGCCACTACCTACTTCCTGAACATTTTCATCACTCCCACAAATGCCCGACCCCAGTAAGTAGCCAGTCCCTGCTTTTCCCTCACTCCAGTCCCTGGCAACCACTACTCAGGTTTCCATCTCTATGAATGTACCTATTCAGGATGTTTTGTATAAATGGAATCATACAGTATGTGGCCGTTGTGGTCAGGCTTCTTTCACCTAGCTTTGTGGCTTCAAGGTTCATCCATGTCGTAGTATGTGTCAGAACTTCCTTCATTTTATAGCTAACTAATATCCTATTGTATAGATACACCACATTTTGTTTATCTATTCATCAGTTGATGGACATTTGGGTTGTTTCCACCTTTAGGATATTGTGAATAGTGTTGCTATGAACATTTATGTATAAGTTTTTGTTTGAATGGCTCTTTTGTTTGAACATGAGTTCCAGTCTCAGCTTCATCACTCACCAGCTATGTAACCTTGGACAAGTTTTTGTTTGAACTGCTTTTTTCAATTCTTTGGAGTATATACCTAAGAGTTAAGACATTTTATTAAGGGATATTTTTCCTGCCTGCCTTGCCAGGAAGCTGTATAACTTTCTGCACCCTTTCACCTTCAAGACAGTTGCTACTATGTTCCCAGTGGGACGTTCCAGAACATCTTTTTCAGAAAGTAATTCTATAAGCCACAATTTAGAGCAATGTTAAAACCATGATTGTCAATACTCACTGCCTTCTAAATACTATTCCAGTCTTACCAATTCCATGAATACCCCTCTCATAGTGCTAACATACACTCCACATGTTCTTATCCCTAAGCATAGTGTACCATATTTTTATTTAAATATATCACATGTGGATGCCTAGTTTTTCAAACTAGAAGCCAATCAATTCCTTCCAGGGCCAGAACTAACCCTCTTGTATCTCATATGTCCTCAGATGCGCACAGACTAGTGTCTGCACAAAATATTAAGGAAGAACATGAGCTCCAGTCCCAGCTTCATCACTCACCAGCTGTGTAACCTTGGTCAAGTTTTTGCATAACATGTCTGAGTCTTGGTTTCCTCATCCATAAACTGAAGATAATAGTACATCTATCTCAGTGGGGTTTTGTGAGGATAAATGACTTCATGCATATGTAAGGCACTTAGAATAATGCTTGGAACATGGTAAGTGCTCAGGAAATAGTAGCTAGAAGTAGTAGTAGTAGTACTAGTACTAGTTGTAGTAGTAGTAATATTTAGGATCAGGTGGAACTGAGTTCAAATCCCAGCTCTGCCAATGATTAACTTTACCTGTGGCTCCTACTTGCCTGCTGTGTTGTTGTGAGCTTGCGGCTTATAAACACACATGCACACACAGGTACACACAAGTGCAAGTTCCTGTGTTACATCTCTGTGATAGAGACAGGCAAATTTTTCACTACTAACTGTCATCTGTCTTCTCTCCTTTGGCATCCAGTAAGATTGCATTGCAGTTAGGTAGGGCCGTGTGACTACATTCTGGCCAATGGAATCTGGATGGAAGGGATGTGCATGACTGTTAGGTCTGGCCCAGAAAATGTCCCCCGAGGTCCTCCTCACATTCCTCTCCCCTCATCTCCTGGTTGGATGCAGAGGCTCTTGTAGAGGACACCAAGGCCCTGGAAGATGATGGGAGGAGACTGGGTCCCAGAATTACCATATGGGAGCCTGCCCGCCAAATACCTTATTGGACTACAGGGTGAGTGAGAAATAAACCTACTAGCATGTTAAGTTTCTAAGATGTTGAAGTTGTTTGCTACAGCAATTAACCTTTAAGACTAATATGATAATTTCTCTAACTTGCATACTCAATGCTCAATTAGATTAAAATTATAGCAGTCTCAACTGAAATGCACAAATTCAGGTATAAAATTCATTTTCAACCTAGGGCCTTTCCTCTAGTTCTGTAAAGACTGATCCATCCAAGGAGGGCTTGGATGATGATGAAGCAAGTGAGGCACCTAAGACTCAAACTTTAAGGAGGTGCTCACTCTCAGTGTTGTGCAAGTGTAAGGTCTGCACTGAAGAGTGATGCCTCCTTAAAGCTGGCACCCTAGGTGTCTCATTTGCCTCACCCTAATTTCAATGCTGCATCCTAGTGCCCCCAGTAGTGATGTCATGCTATACTCTGCCCATTTCCTAACTGATGCTAAGCCAGGCAGCTGCCTGAAAGCTGGTTTAGCCACTAATTTTCTGTTACCTGAAGCAAGTTAATTGACTTGTCTGAGCCTTGATTTCCTTTTCTGAAAAGAAGAGTACCTGGGTCATAATGCACAATAAGCAGTGCTATTGATAATATTATTATTCTCAATATTGTTGAAGCAAATGAGTGAATTCCTTTGCTCACATTTTCAATGATTTTCTGCTTCCATGACTGCTTGGTCTCCTACTCTCCTGGTCCCCCTTTGGCATCTGTGTGTGCTGGGACACATACGCCCATGGATTCCTTAAATGGGAGAGCTATGGCTAAAAGCCCAAAGAAACTTCATTGAGAAACCCAAGCCATTTTCAAGACTGGCCCTTACTTGCTAAGCTGACAAAGAGAGCCTGCATGTTCTCTCTCTCCACCAGCTGTTTTTCTTTGTTGAACTGGCTGACCTGCCCCAACCTCTCCACAAGGATAGTCTGCTCTGCCATGATTCCTTTGAGGAATTAACTTGCCCTTTGCTTTGGCTCACTGAATGTCTCTATCTCAGGGACATTTGTTCAATGGCCAGATTTGGCCTTGGAATGAGCTCCAGATCCAGCATTTTTGGGGCTGGTTATGAAGCAATCAAAGGGAGATCCACTAGTCCAGCACTCTCCACCCACAACATGAACCCAACACACACACCTACATACATGCTTTGTGTACCTGTTGCTAAAATATAACCACTGAGGATTCCAGGAGAGGTAGTTCCTAGGCTGACTGTTCCAACTCTTTCACCTTACATTAGTAGTCTAAGTGATTGAGCTCCCACCAATTTTAACTTTGAATAGGAGAAACTGGGAACTGGAAAGAGGAATGGAAATATGGAGGATGAAGGTTCTCTGCTGCTAAAAATTAATGCTAACTATGAGAGAGAGTGAGAGAGAGGGAGGGAGGGGGAGAGAAATAGGAGGGGAGCAGAAGGGAGGGAAAGGCAAGAGAAGAGACAGAGAGATGTCAGGGGATAGGAAACCCAAGATAGAAAGGAGTGGAGGATGCTACAGGAGATGAGAACAGGAATAAAAAGAAAAGAAAAGAAAGGAAGAAAAAATAGGAAAGAAAAACTTTAGGACACAAAAAGAAGGGAAAACATAAATACAGACGTGAGAAGGAAAAATTTAGACTGTGATGTAGTGGTGATGGGGCAAGAAGGTAACATTGTGGGGGAAGGGGAGTGATGGCAGGTCTCGTGCCTCAAACAGCTCAGGGAAGGCCAGGTAGTGCCAAAGGAGAAATGCTAACCCAGCTGCGGCAAGCCTTAGGGTAAGCCCGCTAGATTGTAATCCCTCTCTAAGGCAATGCTGACTCACTTTGGGCCATTTTCAGAGTGTTCTCAGATATCTTAAAGGCTCCATCATGAGCTTGCTGCAGCTTTATTTATTTGACATCTGTTATGGATGCTAGATCAAATGGAGAAATAAGAAAGATAACTGTCTCTAGCCACAGCTCCTTCACAGTTTTTCTTTGAGGCCCTAGATTTTGGCTCTGCTCTCAGGACAATAGTGAAGGAAAGCAGGGAAGTTAACAGGTAGGGAAGGGATTCTGGGTCAAATTACCATCCACTTCAATGTCTCCCTTCTTTTACCAAGTGAATCATATAACTGTGATCATTTAGGACAAAGTTATAGTGTGAAAAGAAGAAGAAAGGTAGAGCTGGGATATTACAAGGAGCGATGTTGTTACCCACCCCTCCTGGACCCCTTCTTGATGATGCTGGCAGCCAAGAGAAAGTACATGAGAATTTGGCAAGCCTGAGAGACTACTCTTTCCTGCAGCCTCCCGGAATTAATGCCAATTCCACAAGGCACAAGGGCCTCCCAAGAACATGAAGCCTAGCTGAGCCCCTGATAATCCTACTATTGGGATGACCGCGTAGGACAGGTAGGGTTAGTGGAGAGCTGTTGGGAGCCAAGTGTGAGTGGGGAGTATTGTAGTTTAAATAACTACTATTCCTAAATCTTTCCAATTCTCCAACCTTTTCTCTGTCTCCCTCCCTCGCCATCTCCCCCTCATCTCTCTCTCCTCTCTTTTTTACATCTGGTACACACAGTTGGATTATTTATATATTCCTTGGTTCATGATATATTAATATATTATCATCATTGGCCCACACATGGCTTTGTTTATTTATAAATCCAATATGATAAACAACTGTAAAACTACTGCCCAATGAAAAAAACTAGGACATTACCAACAAATTTATATCTACTTACGTGCTCCTACTCTATCTTATTTATCGCTTTGTCCCCTTTGTTGCTATCAGAAGTAACAACTATCTTGTATTCTGTGTCTATTGTTCCCATGATTTACTTTTCATTTTATCACATATATATGTATGCACTGGCACTTTAGCCACTCAGCCATTTTCCCAGCTGTGTGAACAAAGACACGTTTCTCAATGTCTTTAGGTCTTAGTTTCCTCTTCCATAATGTGATAATAATAATAAGACCTGCCTCAGTGGGTCACTGTGAGAATTCAGTGCCTTAATGCATAGAAAGCACATAGAGAAGCACTTGTCATATGAATATGGGTAGTAGTAGTAGTAGTAACGCCCTGCTCTTGCCTGGACTTCCCTTTTCTTCCTTTACTAGCTCATGTGCCACCTCCTCCAGGAAGACTAACCTTATTTCCTCATTGAAACCAATAATTTATTTTCTCTACATTCCCATGGTATGTATTCACACCTTCCTTCTGGCCCATGTTTCCTACTAGTGCTAATATCAAGTTGGCTTCCATTTAAAGCAGTGGTTCTTAATATTATCAGCACCTTAAAATCATCTGGGAACTTTTTAAGAGTTGTGTTCCAAGCCCTAGGCCAGACCAACTAAATGAGAATCTTTGAGGATGAGTCCCAGATGTCAGCATTTTTTAAATCTTGCCAGGTGATTCTAATGTGTAACCGAGGAAAAGAACCATGACTTAGCGCAGGAGCTGGCAAACTCTGGCCCATAGGTCAAATCCAACCCACTGCCAATTTCTGTAAATAAAGTCCTATTGACCCATTTGTTTATGTATTGTCTATGACTAGTATCACACTATAATAAAAGAGTTGTGTAGTTGTGACAGAGACTATATGGCCCTCAAAACCAAAATTATTTATTACTGGGATCATTACAGAAAAAGTTTGTTGACCCTTGCCTTAGAAAATAATCTCTCTTAGTATAGAGACCATATCTTATTCATCCCTACTTTCTCTAATATGCCTAGCACAGTGCGTTGCCCATGGTTGCTTAAGTGATTATCCAAAGTGTAGGTAGAAATGAGGTGGAAGGTCCTGTCTGCCAAATTCAAGCCTTAATTTAATTTTTCTACTGGTGCTGACATCAGCCAGTATTTTGAAGCATTATGAATTTCTGTCTCCTTGTTGGTTGTGAGAAGATGGCCTGGAGAGAGCACTAGGAGCAGGGAGTTAAGGAAGCTAGCGTGCCTTGCTCCCTGCATCGATTCTCAGAGCACAGTGCTGGCCTCCTCACCACTGCCATCCAGAATTCTTCCGTTTTAGGATCTCTACTTGGCTTCCATCTCTCCCAAGTCCCTCCGGTTTGAGAAACACTTGAATTGGTTGTCTTTTGGAGATCTCTTCCAGATTTGTCTTATGGTTTAATTATTTATGTCACAATGGTTGAAAGTTGAGGCTTTAGAGTCAGGCAAACCCAGGTGTGAATCTTGGCGGTGTGACCCTGGTCTCACTGTTTATTGGTTCTGAGCCTCTGTTCCTTCATCTACAAAATGTGCACGGCAGTACATACCTCATAAGGTTCTTAGAGGGCGTAAATGAGATAGTGCCTGTCAAATACTAAGCACAGTACTGGGCAAACAGTGAGCACTCAGTTAAAGGTAGCTATTACCACTTTCATCATGCCTATCATCACCACCAGAGGTCTCATCTACCCTGCCATGTTTTAAGCCCCTTAAAAGCAGGGGCTCTGTTCTAGCATTTTCTGCATCCCTGCTGTGCCTGTCACATAGTGGGCTCTCGCTATGAATTAATTGCTTGAATTGTATCCTAACTGTCATCCCAAATGAAACTCATAGCAGGAATGCAGATGTCAAGCTCCACTTTACCTCACACTCTCCAATGCCTGCATCCCTAGGCATCAGGGTATTCATCAAGGCCATATACCAAAAATAGGCACTGACATATGTGATAATTTTACCAGTCTTGGGGCCATCAAAGTTAATTTGTCTACATTTTCCAAATGAACAGTAACTTTATTAAAATTCCCACCTGTGACAAATACATAGTGCATAATTTTTCCTGGAGGAAGGTACAGCCATTGGGGTGGTATTTCCAAAATGCTTGTCCCAACAAGTCTAAATTGCTACAATAGTGCTTAGATTCAAATCTAGAAAACATGTAAAAGGCCAGAATCCCAGTCTTTGACAGGAAAAAAGAATAGAAAAGGCATTCTAAACCTGGAGGCCATTTTTCCTGCTTCAGTACTGAACTGCACTCAGGGACTGCTGTGTTAGCCTGGGAATAACGCACTGTGTTTTGGAAATGCTATTGTTTGTATTAATAAAATGCCACTGTACAGAGGCTCCCAGGCCAGCAAGTCTGGACTTGGCCACTTCCACTGATTTATTTAACACTCTTCTCAGGAGGATAAATAGGGTATACACCTCAGCCAGTACAAGATCACCTTGGGGCAGTGTCAAAACCCTTGGCAGTTCAACAGCAATCAGCACAAGATCTGGGGTCCTGATTAAAGGTCAGGCCTCTTCGTACTCAAAGCAAAACTCACAAAGGGGAAATTTACTTTCCCTAGGTCCTGCCTCCTCTTTTTGTGTGCCTTTCCGGACTACCACCCCAATCTCACAGTGGGTGGTACATTTCTTTACACTCAGTCTCAAATTAATGACAAAACTTAATGTGGACCCTTCCCAGGGGAATTTACGTTTATACAGAGTTCACTGGATTCAAAGTAAAGAACTATCATGCTCGTAGTAAAGAAATCTAAAGAAATCATGCCAAGACACATCTTAGTCAAAATTCTGTAAACTAAAGAAAGAAAAAAACATTGAAAGTGGTAAAAGAGAAATAACACCTTGCATAGAGTGGAAAAAAAAATTCAAATTACAGGGGATTTCTCATCAGAAACTACGAGGGCCAGAAAAAAGTAGCACACAATTGTTAAAGTGCTGAAAGAAAAGAATTATCAACCATACATCTCACATCCAGCAAAAAACACTTTCAAGAATTAAGAAGGCAACCAAGACATTCTTAGATAAAGGCAAACTAAGAAAACATGTTGACAGCAGGCCTACCTTAAAAGATGGCTAAAGAAGTTCTTGAAAGAGAAAGGAAATGCTAAAAGAAAGAATCTTGGAACATCAGGAAGGAAGAATGCTCATATCCCATTAGATAGTAAAAAACCATTTGTTTTTTGAGTCCATAGTGAAAGCGGAGGGGGGAAGGGGAGGCAGAGAAGGAAGGGATGGAAGCTCTTTTTTATAGAAGAATGCTAAGTAATAAATGTAGAAAGAATGATAGAATTAGTAGGTCACCATTCTGTATCTCCCAGTGTAATAACAAGTACAAGCCTACATCGTCATTGGAAGTTAAAATCATTGGGTAAAGATTGTTACAAGCAGATAGTCAAAAGGCCTCAGGATATCGCTGTCCGGTTAATTTTTACTATAAAGGAAAAAAGGTATATTTACAGCGTGGAGAGCTGATGGATCCCCAATGTAGCCATGAGATCAAACCCAGCATCATCAATATGGGAACAAATCAACATTCTGGGCCTGCGATGTGATACAGTGGGAAGTCCACAGCATCACGTAGAGGTCTTTTTCAAAATATTTGATCTGAGTGTAATCATAGAGAAACTATCAGAATATTTCAGAATGTAGGATATTCTAGATGATAGAACTGATCTGGACTCTTTGAAACTATCAATGTGATGAAAAACAAACTGGCAACAAAAATAGCAGGGGACTATTTAAGATTAAAAGAAACTAAAGAGATTTCACAACCCAAATGTAATAAAGAGACCTTAATTCAATCCTAAATCGTAAATAAAGCTATAAAAGCCACTTTTAGGAGAAATGGAAGAATTAAGTATGGACTGGATAATAGATTCTTCTTTTATCCATTGGGACTATTACAGAAAGTGGTAGAAATGCATCCCTAGTTGGGAAAGGGAGAGACTATGTTTACCCATCGTATGTTATATGGTTTAAGACCATGTATATTTTGACAGACTCTCTGCATATATCTTTCAAATGTCTCTAGTACTTTTTCTGCCATTTATTCATGTGTTTTGTTGTTGTTTAACATTTCTATATTGCTTATTGTATACCAGGCTCTATTTTAAGTTTTTTTTATAAATACTTCTTAATTTAGTCTTCATAATAACCCAATATAGAATAGGAAACTGAGGCACAGAGAGGTTAAGGAAACTGAGAAAGATTTTCCAGTTAATGAGAGGTAGAATGAGCACTGGAACCCTGGCAGGCTGGCTCCAGAGTGCCCCATTCTTAACCATTATACTTTGCTGTCTTGCTATGTACGTGGCAAAGGTGCAGGTGTTGAGGATGGGAAAGGTCTTGGGCCAAAACCTGCTCCCAAAACACTAAGCAGCCATCTCACATTTGTTTACTAAATAACGGCGGGACTTGGGGGCAGAAGCTTGTAATCCTTTTGGAAGGTGATTGGTCTACACAGGGTCAGTCTATATCTGCTCAGTAGGCCAAACAAAACTCGTGAATTCAATAGACTCTGCGAAACTTCTCCTGGGAGAGAAGCAGGGAATTTCTGCATTAGAGGGTTAAAAGTGGGGCAGAATGCATAAGATTGTTCTTTACCCAATACCACCACTGCAATGTAAGAACTTTTTTGCTGTTACTAGGCATTGACTACTCAAGTTGATATAATATATTAGGCTAAAAATAGTATAGTTTCAGTAGGGAAAATCATTTTATCAGAACTCTCAGTTGCAAAAACTCTATCTAATGTGCATCTATAAATGATTTTATTAGCTTACACTGCTAAACACCTTCAGGCATAGCTGGATTCAGTGATTCAAAAACCATCATCAGGATTTGTTTTCTCCCTGATCCTCAGTTCTGCTTCCTCAGGATGTCTCCTCTCTTAAATGGGCCTTTCTCTCTTGCTCAGAAGATGACTGTCAGTAATAATCAGAGCTACGTTTTTCTACATCTCATTTCTGTAGGGAAAAACAAGAGTACTAGTCCAACCTTTCCAAGAAAAGCCATACAATGCACTCTGCTTGGATAAGTTTAAGACACAAGTCCACGCCTGAAATAGTCACAGTGGCCAGGCAAATGCCATGTGATCATTGACTTAGGTATGGGTCTCAGGGCTGGAGGTGGAATTCTACCCAGGAAGGCGGACTGAAGTGGGAAAGAAGTTGGATCTCTATATGAAAATTAGGGTCCATTGCCAAAAGGAGAATGCTTGTTGGGAAGGTAAATAGCAAATATCTCCCATAACCATACCTGGCCCATCTGTTAGAGTTGTTTGATGCAGAAAGTATGTGTGTTGATAAAGGAGTACCAATGAAATCTATTTATTTAGACTGCCAAGGCATCCTATTCAAGCCTTTACAAAATCCCATTGTTTCATTATATATATGGAATTAATTTATGCAAGAAACAAAAAGTAAGGATAAATGGGCCATTTGAAATAAGAAATATAAATAGTGAGATGCCTCAAGGGCTGGTCTGACAACACTTTAATGTGTCATAGATTAAGGGTCAGGAAACTTTCTGTAAAGGACCAGATAGTAAATATATTTTGGCTTTGTGGGCCATACATGCCCGAGCATGAAAACACCCATAGACAGTATGTAAATGAATGGATATGGCTGTGTTCCAATAAAATTTTACTTTTAAAAACAGGCAGTAGGTCAGATTTGGTCTACAGGTGGTAGTTTGTTGACTCCTATTGTAGAGGGATAGTAATGTACTGTGTAGGAGTATGGGTTCTGTTGTTAGATGTATCTGGACTTGAGTCCTGCCTCTTACTTACTAGCTCCATGGATAATTTCCTTAACTACTCTAAGCCTCAATTTCCTAATCTGCATAATAGAGATAATAATAACAGATATCTAAGAGAGTTGTTGTGAGAATTAAAAGAAAAAATGCACATAAATCAAAGAGCACAACGCCTGGCAGGTAGTAAGTGGTCGATAAATGATAGCTCTTAATAATATTAAGAAAGACAATGGGGGAAAATCTATAGGAAAACCATGTGAGAGGGAAGAAAGATGAACTTCAGAGTTGTTTTAAAGATACCCATTCATTAAAACATTCCAACCACATTTTTATTGTAGTGGATTTGTCCCGTCAATTATTATGACTCAGGAAAGAGAAGTGCAGCCTTCAGGGAAGAATCCACAAGGACTGTTCTTTCAAGATACTGATGAAACCCCCAAATGCCTCCAAATTACTGGATATCATTTTAAAAAGCATTAGAAATAAAAAAAGAAAGGGTTATGTTGCTCAAATTTATTTTGCGTCCACATCTGGAATTCGGGATGCGTTTGTAATGATTGTCCCTCACTAAAGACAGAGTAGACCTGGAGACAGTTTTGAAAAGGCATGCTGGAGAGATTACTGTCTAGATGGGTGAATGCATGATGCCCACTAGAAAGATTAGGACTTTTCAGCCTGGGACACCAATCTGGGAAGGACGTGTAGTATAGTGGTCAAAAACATGGCCTTTTCTGTCAGATAGACCTAGATATGAATTCTGGCTCCAAGACTTAGTAGTTTGCAATCTTGGGCAAGTCACTTAAACTCTTTGAGTTTACTTGTTTTCACCTGTAAAATAGGAATACTAAAAGTGCCTTTCTCATGGGGCTGTTGTAAGAACTGTGCACGTAATCAGTTAGCCTCGTCCTTGGCACATAGTAAGCACTCAGTGACTGTTATTATTATCTGTAGCCTCTAAAATCATGTATGAAGTGATCAGCATCAAAAGACTTTCATATCCTGGAACAATTGAACAGGGAGGGGGAATGCCTTTGAATTATACACAGGTGAAGCTAATGCAAGTAAAAGGAAGTCTGATTTAAATGGCAGGTGGTAAACCTATGGTCTCTATTGCCCCATAAGTTATTACAGACTGAAAACAGATTTAATAAAGGACTCATGCATGATAGAAACATCATGGGTGACTAAAGGAACATGATGTTTGATCATTGTTGCTAACCTCATGGTTAATGTAAGGAAGAACAATGCTATCTTCCCATAAATGTTCCTCAGAGTCAGATTGTTAGACTGGAAATTCCGAGGTTGATACATTGGGAGCAGTTCTCAGATTTAAATGGCTGACTAACTGCTGTCTGAATTAATCAAACTCTTATTTTAATCTTGCTTTTCCCATGACAATGGCAGATAACCATCTGAAGACTTCAAAGTCTTTGTTGTCTCCTGGCATTGTGCAAACACTGTAAATATCATTGAGCTATTGTTCAAAAAGACTCAATAGCTTTGAATGAAGAGCTACAGAAATATGAAGGCTTTGTGATAGCCAGAAGCATTTGTTAAATCCTGACTCAATAAGCAAGAGCCCACCCAATCAGATAATGCAAACACAGTGTATTTTTAGATGTGTCAAGGAATTTTCTCTAACTCATCAGAAACACAAATGAAATTTCAAAGTCCTGGAAGGCACTGATTTGTTCTGTGCTTCCTTTATAGACTGCTGTCCAGAACATGAGTTTCAACCAGTGCCTATGTAAATGCCAGTTCCTAGAGTGGCCTCTCTGTACTGAGTGGCTATGGGAGGTGTAATTCGGTCAGTTAGGCTAGTCAGGAGGGGTGTGACTTAGAATGTTTCCCTTCTCTATCAGAGATCAAGTGGCTCTGGAGTTATAAAGATATTGGTTTCAACTCCTAGCCCTGCCATTTACTAGCTGCGTGACTTTAGGGCAGGTAAGTTAACTGCTCTGAACCTTCATTTCATCATCATTAAATTGAATTTATAACACCTACCACATAAAGCTGTGGTGAGCCTCAAATGTGAGAAATGGCTATTCAATCTTTTAGTAATATGAAGTTAAGTGAGTATCATTAGAAATTAAAGCACTCAGCACAGTGCCTGGCATAAAGTAGGCATTCACCAACTATTAGTTCCCTTTCTCTAGATACACACAAAGCCAGATTGTATGCCCAAAGGGATGAGTCTTCTATACATAGGGAAGACTAAAATTCTACATTGTCCTCCACTGGGTTACTATAAAGTGAATGTGGTTGGTGAAATACAGTCACAACTGTTTATCACTGAGCTGGACACATAAGAGAACCAGTGCCATGTAGGATATGTACTAGAAATCAATGAGCAGGAAGCAGATTCAAGTAGACCCAAGAATCAAAGCCAATATCAGGAAGCAACACAAATAATTTAGTTATAAATGCTCAAAGTTATAGTGGCAATCAATGACTGGGCAGCACAGTTTAGGTACCAAGATAGTTCTCCTGACTCTACTAAATGGTATAACTCACTTCTGGGACTTTTGCTTTTAAAATGTGGGCGGTGACACTTGCAAAAAGGTGACATTGAAAATCCATGGCACTATATTCCCTTGAAGGTTTTTCCATTCTCTTGGTAATGTGAGGCCTGAACCTTCATAGGGAGGCAATGAAACATGGCCACCAACGTAGAAGGCTTTATAGATGTGACACAAATGCCTAGAGCTCTCCCAAGGGCATGAGGTGTTAGATTTTGCCAAGATGCTGGTATATGCTAAATGCTCTGTTTTGTTTCAGAGATGACTACTGTGGTTATAGGCAAGATGGTGATGGATGTAAAAGATCTTCCAGAGCCCAGAAAAGGGATGATAATTGTTTTACCATCATGGATAGAAGTGAGGGCAGTGACAGCATGGGTCCTATGTGTTGCCATCTGGACAGAACAGAGGTGATAAGAGTTAGGCCAATCATGCACTCCTCCCTCTTTAAAAGGTGTTTGTCAGTGGCTCATCTCTACAGCGATATGTTATGTCTTCATCCATGGCAGTATATTATGATGTTTAGACTGAACAATGTAGTATTATAAGAAGCAATTACTTATGGCGGGCACCATGGTGCTGAGTGTGAATGTGGGTAAGTACAGAAAGTGAAAACCACCAGTATTTAGGAATTTTATTACAGTTGTAGACAAATGAGAGAGATAAAGAGGGAAGCTGACTGACTGTTGAGGCAAGCATCTCAGGGAGGCCAATCTTCAGTGGACTTACTATGGTTCACACTGTGGTGCTGTCTTTGCATAGTGAGAATCTAATTTTTTTTTTCCTGTGTGCTCAGAGCTAATTAGGATTTGAAGGACTGATGCTATTAAAACCCACGAAAAAACTTATGTGTAAGCCAAACATCAATTTATTCATTTATAATGAGAATTAATTGCCAAGTAGGGCAAAACACTCATGTCAGCTGGTTAGCAAATTTTCTCCCCTTAACAAAGTTTATATGGGAAAGTAATTACAATCAGATGACTTCTTAGAGCATGGAATCAGAGCAAAGAGAGTTAGATGACAATCTTTATGGCTAATGACACAAATTGGGATGGCCTGGTGCCTTCATCCCACTGTAGGTGGACCTGCCAAAGCATCTGCTGGTCAATGTCCCCTGTCTGAGTCTAGAGAGATTACTGATGCCCTATGGCTCTTTAATTACCCTCTTTTCTAGACTCCATGCAGATCGTTCTCTTGTTAACAATTTCTTCTTCAGACTCATCATAAGATGATTAAATTCTACCTTTCTGGGTGGCATTAATCATGTAGCAGATCTGCCTCCCTGAAACTACAAACTTGATTGGACCTGGGGGTTCCCCAAGCCTATGCAGTTGCAAACTTCATCTTTGAGTAGATTACATCTCATCTGTTCTCTGTAGATTTTAATTAGCTTCACTCTCAGAGAATTTCACTTAGGTATAAATTCTGAGGACATATCCATGTAACTCTCCTTATGCTAAGTAATGAGTTCATTCTAGTTGAAGTGGCTAGTGTCACTATAACAAAATTTTGAAGTGGTAAACAAAAAAATGGTTGCTAGCTAGTAGACAGTAAAGCATCATCCTAACATCCTATTCATATGCTCAGTCTGGCTGTATACTACAGAGAGTACAAGAAGTCCTTGATTGAGAATTCCTCAACAAAGGGTTTCTGAAAGTGGGAAGTGCACTGAAGTTCATAGCCCAGGATTAATAATCTGTTCTAAGAGGCTATGGAATCTTAAGATTTCTTGATGAAGAAGGTAATGTCACTGCTGAGAGAAGGACCAAACAGGAAATAAAATGGTACATCTTTGTGAGAAAGCACACAATGATAAATTCTGGTCCTAAGATAAGGAAAGATTGGTGATGAAGCCAACAGAATGCTCCTATCAGCATTCCAGGACTATACTGGGGTCAGCAAGGAAAGTGACTGGAGCAGGATACCTCCAGGTAATCTCAGAGTCACTTCAAGTTCAAATAGATCTCCTTGTTAGAGGATCTCATACAATCCCAGTACTCCAGTGGGAATTTCTTGGCACAACTGGAATATGTGCATGCATGTCTCCTTGTTGTGAGAGCATATGAAGTAAGATAGACATATAGCAAGCTGTTGATAAAGGAGAACTCTTATGAATGCAAATAAGGATTGGCACATTGGTTAGCGAGGCACTGATGGGTGAAAAGATCTGTTTGTTTGCACTACAGGATGAGAGTAGTAAGGTGTTAGCTGGGTTTAAGTATTGTCAAAGTTAGCCGAATTCTCCAGAAATAAAGCCAAAGTAAATGGCACTTCATATTATGAGAGGCCTTTATGGTTGCTAGGGAATATGGAATTACTGATTTTTCTTCAGGAGATCCATTATGGGGACATACATCAACACCAAGAAGCAGGGAACAGCGGACTGGAAATTCCCACCAAACACTGGCCATCACTGGATATCCTTAACATTTTAGGGAGTTGTGTCTTTTCAGCATGGCACTACTTTTGTTCAGAAGCATTAGGAATCCATTCACAGAGCTGATGTGTGCCAAGAGAACAACATGAGCAATCAAACCCCCACTTCTTGAGTTTTACGCACAGATGGTGTTGATGTATACGCCCTCGGATTTTTCAGACGGGATGGTTCAGAAACTTGTCTGCCATTAATTGCTCTTCAAGATCCTCAACTAGATGAGGGTCCCCAGAGGTGGTCCATGAGGGTAGGTGGTTCATAAAACATCCTGGAACCTAGAGTAGGGTGTTGGGGAAGAGAACAGTAATCTGGGATTGGTAGGGCTTAGCAAACAACATGTACCTGCCTGAAGAGATAGCCCTCAAAGAAATGTATCAACAGTTCCAAGCAGAGTTTTCAAAGGGCCATACCATCTGGTTTGTCATTAGGCAGGAGATCCAGTTTGTTGGGTAAGCAGAAGCCTTTAAATGGCAACAAAATGCATAGCTATGGAAGGGTGGCAGAGCTGTGTGTTCTATGCAGGTTAGTTTGTATTGAAGATGGACTCTAGCCAATAGGTGGAGCAGGATCCAGCCTCCAATAGGAAAATATTGGTAGGATATGGGAATGCAATTAGGACTTCAGTCAAGGGTTCGAAACCAACATGAAAATAGGAGACAGACCAGTGAGGATGAAGGTGAAAGGCTTAGGCATAATCTCAGGCGCAGAAGACTTAGGCCAACAAACTCAACCCAGATCTCATCCATTGGTGGGGATGGGGTTCCAAATGTACTGCCAGGGTTGTTTTTATTGGCTCAGACTGGGCAGAGTTTTGCCTGCAGGTTTTCAGTACTCTTGGGGAATTATTTCCAACTGCAGAAAGTGCCTGTGAGTTGTTTTCATCATCATTGGGTCAGGCTTGGTGATGGGTCACAAGATCTGCTTGTTTAAATTCCCAGAAGCACATAAGTTCATGACTTCTGTAAAGTGTTATAACAGTTCCCCAACTGTATTTTAATGTTAGTGCAGGATATAAATTAGTAAGGCTGGAGGTGAGAGGGATACAGGTTTACAAAGTGATCTGCCTAGGTTCCTTTTACTGATGAGCTGGGTCATTTATCCTTGCTGGGGCTCGAGAACGTTTGGCAAGGCAATCTCTTGTGAAGTGACCAGACTGGCTGCAGTAGAGGCACAACTGAGTTTCTTGCTGGCGTGCTCGTTTGGCTGGGGTGAGAGGCAGCTGGCTCCCCCGCAGCTGTATAGGCTCTTCCTTGGGTGATAAACCTATGGGGCTGGAGAGGGCTTGGTGGTTGATCAAGGAAGCCAACATTGGGAGCTGGGGCTCTGACTGTAGGAGCTCTGGCCTGTCACTACGTTTCCTGTCCAACTGAATACACTGAGTGACCAGGTCTGGGAGGTTGTCCACCATATCTGTGCCACTTACTTCATCCTGGATGGGGTCAGCTAGTCCTTCTTGAAAGTGATCAGTCTGATTGGTTTCATTATAGCTCAGATTTTGAGCAAGGATCTGGAAAGTAGTAGCATCCTGCTGAGAGTTGTCCCCTTTGTCTAGATTGTTCCTTTTCTGTTTTGTGAGCTCACCAAATGACTGCTGGAACTCAAGAACAAAGTTCTCATATTGCTTCAGCAGAGTTCTCTTGTCAGGCCCAGATATGATCCCACAACTTTTCATCTGCTGATATAGGTAATCAAAAAAGAACTTGACTTGGGCATCATCTGCAGGATTGGGGATCTTGAGAGCTGTCAAGTAGGTAGTCACCTGAGCAAGAAACCCTGAGAGACTGGCAGGGTCATCACGAAACTGGGAGAGATGCTCAAGTGAGCAGGATACAGGCATCATCGGAGTAGCCAGGGAAGGCATGACTTGGCCCCTCATAGCAGGGTTCTCCTCAGTCAGATACTGCATTTGTGGCCGCAGAATCAGATTCTCTGCCTGAAGGGAGGCATGCTCTACCTGCAAGGCAGGTGGTGATTCTGTGTACTTCTCCATAATATCTTCTGGAACCAAGTGGGACTAAGTACAATTAATTGTGTACCAGTACTAGAGACCAATAGGCAGACAGTGAGTGTGCTCTGTGATCAGAGAGACACTGTTATGAGCAAATAGCCAAAGCTGTTAGCTGTGAAGAACTCACAAGAAGATGCTGAGAGCTGAGTTGGAGAGATTGCAAAATCGTTGTCCACTACTCAGTTTTGCCTCTTCTTCATGGAGAATTCCAATGCTCTGCACATTCAGAAGAAATAAATTACCTTAGGAGACATAGAGGATTTGGAATTAAGAAGATAAATACAAAAGCACAATAGATTTTTCTCCCCACTCCCTTGCCTTGTAACACAGGAGCAATTTGCCCTCAGACTAAGCCTTTGGTTCTAGAGCATCTTTTTTGTCAGAGAATCAAAGAATTTTACAATCCAAAGTGATCTTAGAGATCATCCAGGCCAAATTCGTAATTTCACAGATGAGAAAACATAGATCCAGAGAGGTAAAAATGTTAGCCCAAGGTCATACAACTAGTTAATATTAGAGCTGGCATGCTCATCAAGACTGCTGTCCACAACAGCACTTCCTTCAGGACCACAAATGTGCTCACTTGCATATAATACTTGAGCATGATGACGTTTCGTGCCCCTTGCTACTCAAAATGTGATCTGGGAACAAGCAGCATCAGCATCACCAGGAAGGTTGTTAGAAATGCAGGCTCTCAGGTCCCACCCCAGACCTACTGTGTCAGTATTCCGCTTTAACAAGATTTCCCAGGTGATTTGAATGTGCACTGAAGTTTGAGAAGCACTGCTCTAGAGAGCACTTAGCCTGAATTGGAATAATCACTGGTTGGACTTGACACTCAGTGCCCCAATTCTAGCCTCCAGATCCGGAGACCTGATTGCTATGGTGGTAGTTAATTCATTTTTCTGGCTTCCTAGTCCCTGTCTGAGGTCACATTTGGTTGTCAGGGAGATAAGACATCACAAGCAAGATGAAGATGTGAGGTTGAAAACCTAGCAAACAAGTACAGAATATTCTTAAAAGTGTAGAGATCAAAATGTTCAGTAGTCATCTCTGCATTGATAACAAGAATAAAGCAATCAGTAAAAGTTAAAAACAAACTCCAAACATATGGCATATCAGTTGAACTATTCTGTAGTGTAATTCCTCTCATTGCCCTTTCCTTGTGTAGCGTACTATTTAAATGTTTTTAGATTGGCCACTGTGAGCAAAAAGTGTGTATCATTAAATGTAACACTTGATTCCCTAGGTTTTCTTTGATGGCTCCTCCTCTCTAGACCTATAGAAGAAATTATTGGAAGATTGAAACAGTATAAGATCGGGGGCCAGAAACTTACTCAAACACTAGCATTAATCAGTTAGATGACTTTGAAGAACTCATTTGAGTCTCAATTTCCTCTTTTACCTAATGAGGATGACTATCTTGTCTACTTCGGAGGGTTGTTGTATCAATGACATAATAGATGGGTGCTCTAAGTGGCAAAACTAAAATGAGAGATTTGCTTTTGAGATTGTTCAAATGCAGCTGAACAATGCCATTTGTGAGGCTCCACCCTTATCTCATATTGCCAACGTACAGAGATACTGTCATATCCTTCTTTCTTTCCATATCTCACCCTTCTAAATCTACCTTTCAGACATCTTCCACTTTCCAGGTGTCCATCCATGAGTTTATTCCTGCCACTCGAGCTGTCAACTGATAGCTAAGATGTTAATTAATGAGGGTTAATGATTGGCCTTTCTCAGGGCATTCACTTTTTTCTCAAACTTTGATGCACATAAGAATCAACTTGGTCCCAGTCCCTAGCAGTTCTGATTCAGTAGGTCTGGGGTAGATGCCAGGAATCTGTTCTTTAACAAGTTGCACAGTGGATTTTTGATACTGACAGTTCCTGTGAGAAAAACCATTCAGATGATCCTTAAGGAATAAAGCCATATTATAGCATCACAGAGAAGTAAGGATGGGGAGGGGACATATTTGGAGGTAGGATGTTGGCCTTCAAATGACATAGAATAGGTGGCAGCCTATTCCATCTCCACAGAAAGCCTAGAAAGAGCCCACAGTGTCCTTCACAACGGTCCATCCCTCCCAGGCAGTAGAGTGCAAGTTTCAGCATGTAGGATCTAGAGTCAGACTGATCTGGGTTCAAACTCCGGCTTGGGCAAAAGTTGTGTCACTCTGGGTAAGTTATTTAACCTCTCTGAGAATCAGTTTCCAAACTTTAAAATGGAGATGATTTTAACACCTGCTTCATAGTGTTATGAGGATTAAATGAGATGAAAAGAGATTAGCACAGCTTCATGCAGATGGCAAGTGCTCCATAAATGTTAGCTATCATTATTCTAGGCCACAGTCTATCTGACTGTGTTTTAGAATTTAATTTTTGTTGGATTTTAGAAAGGTAACACAGAGTATGTACTGTTTATTACATAACATTCCCAGGGGTGTCTGAGGAAACATCCCATAATTAAGCCATTAACATTTCTGCAGGAAAAAAATGTCTGAATATTCATACTAAAAGAGATAAAGATTAAGCTCATGTCAGTTCAGATCAGGTTTTGCTGCCAAATGAGTTTTGGCACCAAATTAATGAAAAAATATCTTCCATTTTACAGAGCTTTTTGATTTGAGAATTGGAGATAAAGGACTGTGGACTTCTATCAAACTCATCTTCTGGTTGAAAGGATGTGATTATAACTTTTCCTTCTCAGTCCCTGCTGTTTGCTCTTTCCCTCCACCTTAATAAGTTCCAGAATATCTGTAAAGTTCTCCTTTTTCTTTACAGAATTATGTATTCAAGGTAGCAGAGCATTTAATTTTTCTAATTATGTAGCACTGGTGAAACACTTGCTAAAATTACAAGCATTAGCCCAAATGCAAATCATACAACGGCTCTGTTGTCAATGGCAATTGCTTAATCCCTAAAAAAAAAAAATCTATCTTGTCTTATCATTTTGGAAATTGCTCTCCTTCTGGAGGTCAATGGCCTTCTATTGGATTGTCACAGAAGATCCTGGGGTACATCATGCCAGTCTGGAGGAGTTTCAGACCACAACCTTGAAGATATGAAGCAGAGATAGAGCTGGAATCTCAAATGCACAGACTTGGGGAATCAGACTAGTGAGCTCAGACCAGGTCTGACACAAAACTGCATATGTTTAAGCTTTTACTTAACTGGCATGTGTTTCAACTGCAAAAACAACAACACAAAAATAGGTTTAGTAAACTATTGCAAGCCATTTTGGTGTTTGTGTTCAGTTTGACTTAAAGCCATGGTTAACATTTTCCCTGGATATAACACTACTCCACTCTGGAGTCTCCTAAGACCCTATTTGGAAAAGGGCCTGCACTACCCTGCTGCTTATAAGAGGGCTTTGTGACCTTACACTGCTTTGTTTTCAAGTTGTTCTACATAACCCATTGGAGGAGGAGCTTTGACCTAGGGTCATGAACTACTCAGAGCAGTTACGTTCTTACTCTTGATCTCCAGATATTTTAAGGAATGCTGTTGCCACAGGAGCTAAACTGTGACATAAATAACCCTGAAGAAGTGACCGCAAGTACATACTGTTTGAACTTGTCTGGAGATTTGGGTGTGACCGCCCAAATAGGAGTTCTGCCACCATCTAGACTGACAAACTTAGGCAAGTTACCTCCTTTCACTGAGTGAGTTTCTGTATCTGTACAATGAAGGAATTGAGTTTCTCAAACTTTATCACGCATAAGAAATTCTGATGCAGGAGGGTTAGCAGGAGACTCAGAAATCTGAAAAAAATTTTTTTTTTGGTGAGGAAGACTGGCCTTGAGCTAACATCTGTGCCAAGCTTCCTCTATTTTGTATGTGGGATGCCACGACAGCATGGCTTGATGAGCAGTGCATAGGTCCGCACCTGGGATCTGAACTGACGAACCCCAGGCTGCAGAAATGGAGTGCATCAACCTAACCACTATGCCACCAGACTGCCCCAGGAATCTGCATTTTTTATACATACCCCAAATGATTCCATGGTAAGAGGTCTTCAGATTTTACCTTGGAAATATTGGATGACTGACCATGCAGAGCTCCAATATTTGTCAGAGGTTCTCAAATTTCAGGGTACATGCAAATCCCGGAGGAGTTTAGCATGCAGATTCTTGGACCTCATCTCCAGACAGTGTGAATCAGTGGGTCTGGGACGAGACGAGATAATCTGCATATTAACCAAGCTCTGCAGATGATGCTGATGCAGAAGTTTCCCTGACAACACTTTCAAGAAACTCTAGGTTGAGTACTCTCAAAAGGCCCTCTCTGTTTCAGCACTATCTACATTTTTGAAAGTAGAAACTATTTGGCTTCAAAAGTGGCCCTGAAATATGAGATACGTGGACCTGCTTCCTTCCAAGTCTCTGCCTGAGGCTGCATGATCACCTCTAAACAGTGGGCTAGCGCAGGCCTGGTTCAGACATGTGACATGTAGCTGACTTGGGGGCAAGAAAGGGTAGCAATTGAGCTGACCTTCCTCTCAGGATCCCATGGATCCTGCTAGGAGTTATGCACTGCTCTGCTCTGCCTGTGAATGAGGTAGAAAAGCCCTCCCCACATCCCATATCAGAGACAGAGAAGCCAGCTGGGGTCAATTTGTCCATTACTGTGACTCAGATCTCATAGCCTCCTTTAAGTTTGTCTTCCTTCTAACTTAGCTGGACCCATGGCCTAGCTGCTTATGAAGTCAAATGTGTCATGAACACTCTCTACAAGTATTCCTTGTCACAGTTTCTCAGTTTTCCTTTCTAATGTGCATAACTCTATTAAGGAGCCACAGTTGCTCCATCAGCTTTCCTGCTCTATGGGCCTATTTAACATTCCTCCTAAGGTCATGTTTCTCAGTCTCCTCCTTCACCTACTTTCTCTTCTTTGCCTACTGTCTCTGCAGGCAGCCGCATCACATGCCTGAATGATTCTGCTCAGTCACCAGCCAGAATCATGACCAATAATGCTGTCCCAGCAGTACACGACCCATTTGCATCATTCTTTTCTCTCAATCTAACAAAGAAGAAGGCATAGAAGGAATTAGTGAGTTTTTCTAGGAAGGCAAGGATCCGGACACTCAATGGAGGGCAAGATGATCAGCCACTAGGTAGGCATCATATCACTAGGGTTGAACATAGAGCGTCACATAGAATCAAGGAAAAACCCCAAAGACAGACTCCATTGCATCTTTGCTGTACTTTCCAATTTGAATCAAGCCCTGAGGGGTACCAACATTATATGAGTGGTGAAATGAAAACTTCGGTGAAAGTAACTATGTTCTAGAGGTGTGCTAACTCCTAACAATCAAGTGTGCTGCTACTTACAGCTCACAAGAGATGTTATGACAGATGGCAGATAACCTTTGTAGCAGGGTTGGGTCTAAGTCTCATTTCAAACCTGCAAGTGCTGAAGACATGGTGGGCCTCTCACATACTGTAAATGCAGAGGTTTTCATTTGTATTCAGTAAGAATGGAAAAGACAAGTTCTGTTTTTATACAGTTATAACAGACCCTTTGTGGGTCTTTGGAGTGATAATACTTATCATTTCTTGAGTACCTAATTTATGTTAGTTTACATACTCCAATTGGTACTGGCTGCCTGGAGCTGTATTTAAAAGGATTCTTGGCCTGTGGCTGGCCTCACTGATAGAATGCTGTGAAGGGCTGTCAATGTCTGAGATAAGCTCTACACAAATAAATGCAACATGCTGAACAGGCATTTGCCACCTCTCTACCAGACTATGTAATACACCACTCTTATGAAGTAGGTATGATAATTTGGGTTTCACACATAAGGAAACAAAGCCCCGATCTCCACTTCCCAACACATAATCATTCCTGCCTCTGCTTTCAATCTCTCTCTTTCCCCCCACCTAAACGTCCATGTCTCTCTTTTGCCTATGCCCAGTTGAAGCTCAGCCTCCTTGATGCAGCCTCCTCTGACTACTCGGACTCTTACTGCCTTTCCATTCACTGAGCTGAGGAAGGACGCATGATCACGATCGTATGCTCCCTCCAGGAGGAAGCCTCTTTCCTTTGAATCTTCATAATTCCGTGCACAGGGCTGGTCCCATGGGCCTTATATAAATCTGTGTTGATGGATACACTAAGATGACAAAGGCTAGGAGAAAGACAAACAAAAGAATCCCTAGTAGTAGTCTGAGGTTAAAATTGTGATAATAAAAATAAGACCTGGAATTCAGTCATGAAAATCTTGTCAAAACAGGAGGAAGCTGAGTAAGCAAGCAGGGGGATAGGGTCTCAGTGGAAGTGGTCTGACTGGAAGAGCCAGTAGGCATTGGTATCACCAATTCTTAGCTTTTCATTCCCCTATCTCCCCTTCTTCTTTAAGCCCCATAAATTCAGTGATCTTGTTTAACAACAAAACAGATGATGAGGTCTGATAAAGACTTCTGCACTATTTCTAGTTTCAAGAAATCAGTCTGGGAGAGTGTTTTGCATACCTGAATATGTACCTTGCCGTGTTTAACGAGAACAATGAGATTAAATATTTTAAATTGGGACCATCCCCATAAAGCTGGGTTGAACTATCACCATACCCATCTAATCAATATGTGAAAATATTAAAAAAGCAATCAAAAAGGAATGATTAGGTTCCCATCTCCATTGAACTTCACTGTCTATGTGTACAAAGATTCAGATATCTTAAAAAACACTTTAATATTCATGATTTCATTCAATCCTGACTGTAATTTTGTCATTTTCCAGGTCAGAAAACCAAGGCCACTGAGATATTAAGTCACGTAAAGGGGCAAGGAAGAAGCTTGGTACATGTACAACTGTCTCTGAAGGGCTCTCATGTGGAATACTTGTTCTTAGAGACAAGGAAGGAGGTATCTGAAGATGCATTTGGGAGGGTGGGGGTGGAAATGGAATGAGTGTCTCCATGAAGTAAGTTAGGAGTTCCACACCATTGGAAGAATGTAAGCAGAGTTAGGACTCCCACCTGATGAGGAGTTAGAGTGGGGACTCCAAGAATCAGGTAAGAGGGAGGCATCAAAAGATGATCTGGTCCTTTCAAGGCTATAGATTCTATAACTTGCTTGAGCACACTGCTAAAATGTGGGGGACAACATTGACTGTTAGTTGTATGCAATCTAGAATGTGATCCTCAGATCCACAGCCAACTTGAACCTTATCCACTTTGCCCATCTACCTCACAACTCATATTCCTGCATGGGATTCAGTAGCTAAGATATAACAGGCCTTGTTTACCAATTGAAGGGCTTAGCTTGGTTTCTCTGGCCATTCTCAATGCCCCCATCATTTCAAACAATACATGCTGCTTCAAGTAAACAATTAGAGGAAGAGTGGAAAAATTCTGATCTTTAGATCTCAATAGTCATAAAATGAGCCCTTTAAATTTGAAATGAAAGGTCTTCTCCTGCATTTGTGCTCCCTGTTGTCTCTTTCATCTTTAATTCATTAAGTGAAATTCACTTAGTGCTGAATACCACTTGCAACTGATGAGCTGATAGAACCTAGCCCACTTAGATTTCAACTCTTTTTTTGCATTGCCAGGTCCCTGCGGTGTGCGGGCAACCTGCAATCCTACTCAAGGTGGAGAAACCTTAATATAAACAATTTAGTATATATCATGTTTTTCAATTACAAGAAGCCTCCTAACAGCTACAGATTAAAGAAAAGTTCGAACTTTAGACATGAAGAATTTGAGGCTCAGGAAATGGAAAATGATTTGTCATTTTTCTTTTAAGATTGTCACCTGAGCTAATATCTGTTGTCAA